TTTATAGATGATATTTAGCATGGGAAAACAATATGCCTTTCTTTACATTTTATTAGTGTACAAACCAACTAACGCACTAATGAGCTATTTTAGATGATTTTTTTTGGGGAAAATGGTCTGAAACAGAGTGAAAATTTCATTCATTTCATTCTGAACAGCTCAAGGTGGCAAATGTAAAAAAGGTGCTACTGAAAGCAGGGTCAGGGCCTGTAGTTACCAGTGCTTTGCGTTTGCGCCACAGTGGTACAGTTACTGTGGGTCTTTTAAATGTACCAGTAAGAGTGAGAGGATAATGCTCTTGAATTTTACATTTCCTTCTGAAAAGCTGTAAACATCTCCACTTACATCTCTTGAGTTTCTCGTGATGTTGCATAGTCAGTTCAGGAAGACTTACCCACTGCTGACATTCATCTGTGTCCATGGCAGGGTTTGTCTGCTATACGGTCTCAAAAATGGGTCAGAGCAGCCAGTGAGGAACCCATTAGGGCACAGAAGTGGAGGGAGAGCCTATGTAAGAGCACTGTGAATAGACTGGGACATAGGTAATCCTATGGAATGGGTCAAGGTAATGGAATAACTTTGACTTTTAAGGACTTAATGAATCCAAAGTGCAGTCTGAGGAGCGATGTCCCATCTTACCCTGGGCCGGGAGCTCTGAAATTACAGGGAGCAGTGATGGTCTCTCTCATCTCTAGATATTCTTGACTCATGTTTTTATGTTTCTATGAAACCATTTATTAGCAGGGAAAAAGAATCTGCACAGCTTTTAGTGAGTGTTGTGAATCAAATCCATGGTCTCTGTGAATCCAAGACCCTCTTTAGACGGAGGTTTAGGAGATGCTTACACCTATATCAGCTGTGTCTGCACAGGGATGAATTCCCTCATCTAGGGTTTCATTTTCTGTATCTTTACTACTTGTCCTGGGCTCTTAACTCCATTAAGGGTAGATGCACAACTGTTTATTTAGGCCTTTTTAATCTGACAGTTCCAATCAAGCTAATTCATCCGAGAGAGACCAACCATCCTTTTATTTATTTTAAGCTATTTTACCAAGGTAACCCAATCCAGGCCATCTCCCTATCTTGTTTACAAGAGCAGCCCCGGTGACAACATCTGTCCTATGTAAAATGTCAAAAAAAGAGAGACAGAAAAAGGCAAACTTTGGGAAAATCATAGAGGTATCAGAATCATTCTTCAGACTTGCATGAGCCTCCAGCATCACTGTCCCTGCTATTCTGAGAATCCAAAAGGTCAGAAGGAGGTGTCAGAGCCCACGCTGGCTGGGAGCCAGGCCCTGGTATGTCCAGTGGAATGCAAGTCCCGTGAATAGTGGTTGCTCCTACCTGTAATTTATGTGAGGAAGTGACAGCCTGACAGTGAATGGAAGCTGCAGAGCGTATGGCAGTGCCTGCATCTTTTGTCTTCCTCTGTTTCTTTGTAGGGTTTTCTTTTTTCATATTAAGCTACTCAGTTTCTGGGCTGCTCTAAGGGGATTTTGCACCTTCCTAGTGAAAACTACTTGTTTTAAAATGACTATAAGAAATAGCTTTTGCCATCCAGTAAATGAGGGAAAGTCTGATACAGCTGTACTGTAAGAGGTTAACTTACACTAAAGTGACAATGTTTAAAGTTATGGCAGCAGTTTAAAGGACAGAACTGGCTGTAGGGGTGACAGTACTTTGTGGTCCACAGAAGTGTAGGAAAGCTGAGCAGCTCCCATTGCTGAGATGCCTTGGCAGTGCTTGATGGCTTGTGTTGATCCTTGCTGATCCCTGCAAGCTCTTGTATTTCAGGAAGAAGTGGAAGCCTGAGGAATTTATTTGTCACTTGAGCCTAGTGATGACCATCAGGAATGAAACCTGCGTAGTCCATTACTACTTGCTGTTGTGTTATGAGCTCTTGTCTGAATTCACTGCTGCATGAGGTGTGGTGTGAAGCTCCTGCTGGTGGAAGGCTCCTTATGGACAGGCTGCAGAATAACATTTCAAAATAAAAAGGCCTGCTTGGATCAAAAAGCCATTTCTTACAGGAAAAAATACATTTTCACGTGAATGTTGAGTATGTGACAAATAGCCCATTGCTACTAAACCTGAGAAAATATGTTCAGTTGGAGAGAGGAAGTTTGATCCTTCAAATTTCAACCAAACCTGCCAGAAATAAATGTAATGAAGACCACTGTGTACATGTTAGAGAAGCCAAACAAACATACCTGAGGAAGGTCTTTAAATGTGTCACAACCGAGACTTGCTATACACATAAATGAGGCGCACATCTGCTCTTGGTATTGCACTTGCATCCATGGGAAAGAAAAGATTACAACAAGATACCAACATTAAAGTATATCGATACAGAAGTGAGTGGGAACTCCTGGAAGGAGATTGTTAGATAGTGACTGCTTGGAATAAGTCCAAACCCGACTGCAGCACAGAGAAATTGGCTTTGTGTTGTACCATGTTTTCTGTAATACAAACCAGTGTGTGCGAGTGTGGGTGGTGGTATGTGATTGTCATTATGAAAAGCTTTTGCCAGCACAGTAGCTCAGACACCAGGGGATAACGCGTTACACACTGATGCTTTCCAGGACATTGATTCTGAAGCAGTTGTGGTGGGTTGTTTCTATCAGAGGATGTGAGCTTCTGAACCACAGTTTCCCACAGGGTGTTATCTTAGCAGGACAAGGGTAAGATCCACTCATACTTCAGAGAAATGCTTCCACCTCCCTGCAGTGTTCAGGTTTCACCTAACACCACTGTGCTTTGAGGTTAGAGACAGGGATTCATGTTTCAGACAATGGACAGAACAATGGGGGAAACGAGCCCCTGTTTCTGTTACAGCATAATCCCACCTGGGAGAAAAGCTCACTTGTTACTTCAAAGCTGTTGTGTGTTAGAACACCCCACTGAGATTAAAGCACCTCACAGAGGAGATGTGCCAGGTTGATGATCCTGTGATGAGAGAGCACGCCCAGAGCTGCATTAAAGCTGTGTCATGTTTGGGATGCACTGTAAATACAGGCACCCTGATCACTTGTGGACATTAAGGAAGTCCTGAGCAGTACTGAGACCAACAGTTGAGCTGCAAACATATCACATGCGTTGCTAAACCCTTCACCTCCTGGAGTTTCAAACTAATGCAATAAATTGTGCTTCGTGTCCTCAGCACAGCGTTTGCTGCTGGAGCTGCCATGTTCCAGCTCTGAGCCAGCAGGTGCTGGTTGTTGGGAAACGTGATCCCTGGATCACTTGGATGCATCTTGGAGAATGTAACTTACAGACATGTAAGAGGGAGGCTGCATGAAGAGGTTTCCTTCCCTCAGCCTGGGAAGCCCGGTGGTGTCTGTGGTTTTGTACAACCTCTCGTGGTGTATTTGATTTTATTTCTCTGCTAGCCCTCAGGTCCAGATTACTTTCAGACAAGCTGGTTTACTCTTTGCATAACGCAGGCTTAAACTCTGTTAGAAATGGGTCATTTCGCAAGTAAAATTCCCCAGAAAATAATGACAAGTATTTGTGGTGCTGGGGTCTGGTGGCACCTGGCAATTACAAATAAAAATCCATTTCTTGATCCAGACTTTCCTCCTTCTCCTTGGGGACAAATTAAACTGAACTGCAGAAGTTTCGAACATGCTTCTAAATCCAGCTTGTGGGGTGATTCTACATGTTATTTCTTCCTGGGAAAGTGTCTCAGATTCATATTAATGAGGATTCCGTGTTTGTGGTTAGGGGAAATTTAGTCGTGTGGCTTAAGCAGCCTTAGGACTCTCATTAAGTGCAAGAGGTGAATAATCTAAACTAGCAGCTAACTAGCTATGGTCAGCAGAGCCTGATTGCTTTTGGCTCACACTGGCTAAACTGGTCCCTTGTCCTGTGCAGGGCTAGAAATGCAGGTGGAAACAGGGAGCATGAGTGGGAGAAACTAGTCTGCATGTGAGTGATTGTAAGGACAGAGAGGGATTCCCTAAAAGTAGAAGAGCTCTTTATTCAGGTGTAGTTTGTGCTCTGGCAGTTTGGGATCCTTGTCTAGCCCTGTGCTTTGCACACACAGCTCAGGGAAAGCCCTCTCTTTGTGGGAATAAATGGTTGCATGGAGCATCCATGGCTTCATCTTCTGGCAGGTTGGACTAGAGATTGCGAAATAACCAGAAAAATTAATACAGTTTCACTCAACTTTGGTCTGAAAACAGGTATCCAAGATGCGGCCTAGAAATCCAAAATGGTATTCCAAGGAATCAAACAGAAGCATGATCTGTCTGAATAGTCAGATCTGAAAGAACACATCTCTTTCATCAAGACAGCATCATGTGCTGTCCATCCCATGCCTGCATGAGCTTGCACCACTCTGAAGTGGTTTTGCAGCATTGGTCTCAATCTGCTTGCAGGGAGGTGTTTCCTCTGAAAGAGGAAAGGGGCTCATTAGCTAGTAGTTACGTGAGAGAAAGCAATACTTGCTGTCTGCAGGGCACATGGGACCATGGTCTCTGGGATGCTTTCTCAAAGGCAGTGAAAGTTTGGCTGGAGCAGGGAAGCTTCAGTTGCTGGTCACAGCAAGTAGAAGTGCTCTAAATGCACAGGAGCCCCCAAGTTAATGCAGTTGGGTGTGTGTGTGAAGCCTCTCTCTTCTTATGTCAGGAAAGCTGTGTCTGCAGTAGCAGTTCCCCTTGGGAAGAAGTGCCTGGGACTCCAGCCTAGCCATACATCTCTGTCAAAATCTCTATGAATAAATTAACCTTTCTAAAGATTAGTGCACCCTAATACCTCAGGGTTTTTTTCTTGTTTTTTTAACAGCACAAATGCTAAAAATGCCTTGACAGACCTTGCTGGTTCTGTGCTGGGGGTCGTCTACAAAGGATTATGCTGCAAGTGGCGTTAAAGGCACAGCCATGTGGTTATGTGTCCTTCTTTGGAGAAGGGCTTTAGCATATGATTATGAGTAGGAAATCCTCATTAGGGTGAGTAATAAAAAAGCTAATGAAAATTCTTGTGCTTTTCCTTTTAGAACACCTCAAATTCAGGCACCTCCCAGTGCTTCACAACTGTTAGCTCACTAGAGCAAAGGCATGATCTGACTCACGAGGCTTTGAAGATTTTGGTAGCTACACTTAACACTCGGGTAAGCTACAGCACTGGTTGCCAAATGTATCTGTGGAACAATGCCTCAGTGTCAGCAGCCCAGTGGGCCCTTGTCCTGAAGGCTTTTGCCTCTTTCCCTTATTTTGGTAGAGCGGGCTGCGTGGAGGTCAGGTATCTGTCACTCTGTTCTCTTGCCATTGGATTGCTGGAATTGATCTGATCCTTTCCAGGCGGTGGGGCCATTCCAAAGATGGTAGGAAGTGTTTTGATTTTTGATCTTTTTGAGATGAATTATGGGGAGGAAGCTGTCTGCTATCAGAGGAATTAGTCAAATTCCTTGTCAGATGTGCAATCCCATTAAAAATGCATTATCTGTTTTCAAAGCTTAAGGACGGGTGTTGGTTGAGAGTCTTTAAAATATTATTGTAAACTTTCACTGAGAAAAAGTATTCCTGAGCCTTTCATGAAGGCTAATCCCACTTCAACTACCGTCAACCAGCAACTCGTGGGGTGGCCTTCTCAAGCAGTACTAGGCAAGAGCATGGAGTTATGCTGGGAAAATCCCCCTGGAAGATGCATGCATTTGTTTTATGACATTGGTAGCAGCTCTCAGCATTCAACTGATTTGTTCTGATAATGATCCCATGTGTGCTGCCTCTTCAGATGATCCCTTTGCTCTTCTCTCTGGGATTTGGAGTTCAGATAGCTGAGGCCAGGTCTGAATTTGTCCTCAATGAGATAATGAACTCTGGTTCCTGCAAAGGAGGAAATTCAGAACACTTACATGCATAAGTGCATAACTTGAATATCTTAAAGTAGACAGAAGGTATCTCAGCCAAAGCTTTGAAGTATGTATCTGTGGAGGAAACCACAGCTTTTTCTTGGAAGGATTAAGGGGGTATCGTGGAGTGTGCAATACCACTCAGCCTTTAAAACATGTTCCTTGGAATGTTCTTATATAAGCATATAATGGTGGCATGCAGACTTCTCTTTAGAAAGCAATTGTTAGCTGCAGAATCACACACTCCTCCTAATTTTTCCTTATTTTTGCCATGTAAATAGGATTTCCAGGAAAACGTCATTGTTTTTGATCTCTTTCACTGATATTCCCAGCCATAATTGACTTTACATTAGCCGTGGCAGACCGTAAGTGATGCTCCCTGTTCCATAGGTTATATGCTTAGACCTTTGCTCATTTGAATTGTTCGTGCCTTCGAACAATGCTGTTCCCACCATTTCTATTTGCAGTCCAACCTTCTCTTTCTTCACTAAGCAGTATAACTCAAAAGCTGACTGTGTGAGCAGGAGGGGGTGGATCACTTAGGAAAGTCAGTCTGCTTGGCCATGCATTGCAAATGCTCTCATTTTGTATGGTCTCTTTAATATCTTTGTTTCTGCATCTGTGCTCTCATCTGAGCACAACTGGAACGGCAAAGAATCTGCTGCTCAGGCCATGTAACAAACTGTGTATTTTAATAATTAAAAAAAGAAGGTGGCCACCTCTGTGAAGGAAGGAAACAGCCTCGGCTGGCAAGGGATCCCTGCGAGGGCTGTGCCAGCACCCAGGGACATGTTTCATGCTCCTTTGTTTTTCTGTTCCATGAGAGGAGTTGGCAGAAAATAGGCAAATTCCTCGGGTCTGGCTGGATGCTCTGGCCCCCTTCAGTAACCATGTTTCCTGCCTGGTTCTCTGGCAAGTGTGTCAGTTTTAGAACAGCTCCAGTCCTGTGTGTCACTGCAGGCAAACGAAACACGGCATGGTGCTTATCTCTTCAAATACCAGTGAAGCTGGGGTTCCAGTCCCTGTATGCATCACTGCCAATCCACCTGTTAAAATATTTTCCAGACAACAATCTGTGTAGAGAGCACATGCACATCATAAATGTTTGGGACTGTGTGTTATGTTGGAAGGCTTTTAAGGTGCTTTGATTTTATTTTGGTGGTGGCTGAACTCCCAAGAGATCCTATTAGGGCCTGCCGACAAGTGCCCCAGAATGAGCTGCATTGTGTGGGAGGGTGAAAACCAGCTTCACTCCTTCTTTAGCCAATCCCTGTTAAAAAAATCAGCCCAAAGTTTTGTGACTGAACGTTTAAAGAAGATTTTCCCTTGCTCTTCTGCTTAATAGATGAAGAAACAGCAGCAAATACTCTCATCCACCTTCCAGGTTCAAGAAGCAGTAAACTTACTGAAAGAACCTGAGCTGGTCTTTCCCTTGCAGTTTCCATTATTCTCTGCAGTCTTGGATGGGCAGAGTTCGCATTGCCGCCAGCGTCAGAGCAGAACCCTGCCAGGCACTGTCTAGACAACCTCGTACCCAGACAAAGCTACAGAAAAGACACTTCCTTGTATTGTAACTAGTCTGTACAAAGCAAAGATCGTCAAACCAGTAGGAGCACTTCAGATCTTTTCCTTACCATTTCACCAAAGCAGAGAACATGTGGTCCTCAGGTCTTCAACGTTGCGTGCATTGAGCTATGTGTGATAGGAGGCAGCTGCAGCACAAGTGATTTTATAACGCAGAACGGTGGCACTTTATCGTTTCCTTTGCTAGAATAGGTTTATCTCAAAATTTTATGTTATTTCAACAAAGTGGAGTGTTTACCATAAATAGCAGGGCCTGCAGAAAGCCTGCTGCAACACTCTTCCTACTGTGAAGCAGCAGTACCTCAAGCCTGAACCAATTTAAGAAGGCATTGGCCATATGATTTTAATATTAACAAGTGGAGCAAATTTGTGAGTGGGTTGTTGGCCAGTTTCATAGTGAGGGCACCTGCAATCCATCAACACGGCTCGTGCAACAAGGTGTCAATGCACAGGCAGAATAATAACAAGAATTGGGTGCATGCAGGGATCACTCAGCTGGTGGAGAGGTGTTAACATGCGGGAGGAGAGAAAGGGCTGTGGTGAAACGCTGTTATTTGTTGGTCAGTTAGCAACCCTGTAGTTCCAAGATGAGGAAGAAGCAGGGCAAGAGGTGGAATGTGGCAAGGAGGGTGAGGGATGGTATGCCTGTGGCTTTGCTGCTAGCTGGAAAGTTGAGAGGTGGGTGGCATGAGTAAAATGTAAAGTTTGTGGTGGCAGAAAGTGGTCACGACCACCACCTTTTGTGAAGCAGGAGCACACAGGTTATGTGGTTTTAAATGCAAGCAAGCGCTCTTTAAAAGGGCATTACAGTTTGTGACACCCAGCCGAAGGGTTGGAGAGAGGACCCAAGTACCAGGCTCCTTCTCCTTGGGGAGCTCAGGTGGGCCACTGCCCAGCCCTCAGACCTCTAATGGTGGGCTAACATGGTTCAAGGAAACCTGTCATTGCAGGGACCCCACTTTGAACACAACACACCAGGCTGTGATGGAGTAGAGCAAGGAAAATGCTCCTTACTCAGCTTCCCTTCCAAGTGTGTTCCCTTGTGGAGGCTTCCCCTGGGAATAAGCCTGCCTCTCCCACGCTGACTGGGGGTGGGCAGTGCCTGATGCCCAGTTTGTCACCCCTGTGCCCCAGTTCCCCTGCCTGAGCCAACACATGGCTGCCATGGGAGGTGTACCAGGGAACATGGCCCCTCTGGGACGTGGTGTTTTGACGAGTACAAATAACATTGCAGGCTAATGCTGGAAAGTGAATCCAGTCTGTGGACACTGGCTTGGCTTTCACAGGACGTGACAGAGGAGGAGATGTGGATAGGCCTCTCTGTTTGCCAAGGAACAGAAGGACAAGGAACAGTCACCTCTGCAAGAAGTTCTGAACATGTGAGAGGGGTAGATCTCTTAGCACTGTGCCAAAGGGACTGGGCTCTCCAGAAGTCACTCTAAAGCTGGTGCTCCTTAAGAAGGATCCTTCCCAGCTGTGTCCTGAGCTCTTACAATTTTTGTAGGGGTGTAGTTTTTTTGCTCTATTTCATAGATTTTTCTCTTTTCATAGCGTCCCAGAGGGTGATATCAGCATGTTGTTATGTTCTTGCTGTTGTGTGCCAACTTCAAGTACGTATTTTCATCCGTCTGAATAAGCACAGAGCTACAGCGACATGATCCAGGATTACAAAAATATGGGCTGTCACAAAAATGTGGGCCTCTGTGTGAAGGAACCCAGGTTGCCTCCTGATCTCACCTTCCCCTCCAACAAATGACTGTAGCTGCTGTGTCCTGCTTGAGTTACTCTGTCTCTGCCTTTACCTCTGTTACTTTTATTTCTGTATTGCTTAGCTAGTCTTGACTTAGCCCACTGTCTGCACTGTAACTCAGGTGGTTCATACATGCTCTTGGCAACATGTTCTACCTTTGTTGTGCTAACAGCATGCTCTTCTGCACATCTGAAATAATACCAATCTTCTTTCTCCATCCAGATGAAAACACTCCTTTCTGCTTTGCCAGTCTCTGTTTCCTGTCACTTGCAGTGGCCTCTTCCCAGGAGGTAAGAAAATAACCTTGCGTACTTTCTACCAGTGGTAATGTGTTGTGTTGGCATTCTGTGAATGACTGGTTTCAGGAGCCTCTGTCAGCGTACCTCGCCAGCAACCAGGTTTTGGATGTTTGCTTTGGGAGCATTTTGTGGTTGAATGGCTCTGTTCCATTCCACATGTAAACATGGGCAAAAGCTCACATTGAACAGTGCTAAACAGTTGGACACTGGTCAAAGAGGCTACTCCCCTTCATGAATACATTGAAAATGCGCATGGGGCACAGAACAATTTAGTAGCAGGAATGCCCAGGTCCTGCCAAACGTATGATTTTGTTTTATTTTCTTTTTCAAAATGCCTAGCACAAAGAGTGAGCCTTTATTTGGAAGGAGATGTCAGAAAAGCAGAACTTAATTGAATCTCAGACTGTATAACTGGAGTCATGTCTAAAAGGAAAACTGTCTTTTCCCTCAGCATGCACTTGTACTGGAGGCCAGTTTCCACCCTCATTTGCATGAGTTTAAACCACGGTAATACCACATGTGACTGTGCCAGTATGGCTTGAGATTAGAATTGAGTCTTCAGCTATTGTTTTTCACTTTCTTAGTCATCTGATTGAACACAGTGATGCCAGTCTGGTTAGTTGCCA